GAACTCGGAAATGACCCTCCCTTGCTTTTAGACCTCCCGTGGGCCTCGACTGAGCTTTGGTGAGAGGACTTTCGAAGAGCAGCTACACTAATCACCGTCATCCTCAGGTGGCAGTCTTTGCAATGTTGGGCATGCAACAGGCTGTTTGAAAGCTTGTACAAGAAAAACGAAAAAGTAGTTTCTGTGGAGGTAAAAAGCAAGAAAGCCAGTGTCGTGTTTTCTCAGTTGCAGGTATTCTCTAGAACGTATGAACACCAGATCCATGCAGGTTTGCACAGAGTGGTGGCTTCTTGACGAGGAGGCCCGAGCGCCCGCGCCCGCGCCCGCGCCCGCGCCCGCGCCCTCTCACTCTCTTTCTCTGTCTCTCTCTCTCTCGCCCGCTCGCTCGCTCTCGCTTCCTCTCTCGCTCTCTCGCTCTCGCGCTTTCTCGGTCTCTCGGTCTCTCGGTCCATCGGTCTCTCGGTCTCTCCGTCTCTCTCTGGTGCTCGCTCTCTCTCTCTCTCTCTCTCTCTCTCTCTCTCTCTGTCGCTGTGCAAGCACCACGGCTCAGACCGGCTCCACTAGCAGAGCTTTGTACATACGCCGGGGTCCGCATGCCATGGCGTCGTCCGCGAGCGATGAAACTGGCTACGTACTGCATTTTGAGTCTGATGATCCTTCCGTTCCTGCAGACAGGCCGTCCAACAGATCTGGCAGCACTAAGGAACACAACAAGATCGGCAGGGACTGGCTGGGACCTGAATCCCATCCGGAAGTCGGCCCCGCAAGGGAGACCGGAGCAGTGGTATCTACACAGGACAGCGAGCATCTGCAGGACATGGACTGCCGATACACCAGCAGAGCAGTATATGCTACTCCACCTGGGCCCGAAAAGACGACCACGTAGGAGACGTGTCCGCCCCCGCAGCTACGATCAGCTGGTGGCACTGGCAGAGCAAAACGCACAGCAAAGGCATGATGCTCTCTACGGCCCCTCCTCGGGAGCTGGCTCTGAAAGCACCATGGTGTGCTCTGTGATACCCCATGCTCTCAGCAGACTCGGACTGTGGATTCCAAGCTGGATTTGCAAGCCATGGACTAGACTGCCGATGTCTGTAAACGGCTCCGGCACAGGGAGCTGGCATCGCCTACTTGCACCACACATAGGATGCGAGCGTGCAGCCTGCCAGACCTTTGCGATGCCCTAACTGCGCGGCTCCCTTGGAGGAAGCCGGTCCGAGCCGAGCCCGGTCCCAAGTCCGGGCCTCGCTTTTGTGTACCCTCCTTAAAGACCCCCTGTCAGGCGAGGGGTGTGAGGGTTGCCGGATACCCTGCCTCAGGTCCGGCCGAAGCAGCTCACTTAGCTCTTCGACAGCTAACACATACACGTGCAAAGCTGCGAGGTAGGCACTTCTATTCTTTTACCGGTGTCTTTGCAGCCTCAACCTGCTGTACTCGCCACGTTTATCACTTCGCTCAGGTCTCTTCCTTTATCGACGCCAACAACCCTCCCGATCGACTACTCCGGTCGTTCCCTGCAGTTCAGCTTTCGGCCGGGGGGAGTGATGCACTGGCCAACCGTTTTGAGTGTCTGCAGCAGTGTGCTCAGTGTTGGTACCCAGCTCTGTTCTTTTGGGCATCAACCTCTGCATCATGTCGCGGCCTGAGCGCAGCAACACTCGGGACTTTGCCAGGGCCATCGCTGAAGAGCTTCATAATCTACGTTCGCAGGGCGGGGGAGCCGAATCCTGCTGTGGCGGCACCCACGGGCACCGCTGAGGAGAGCACTACCCTGGATCCGGAGGTCTCAGCAGCCCTCAGCCTTGCAGGGAGAGGAGAATCGGACGTCGCCAGACATTATCGCGCGAGAGGCATACGCGGGGTTCTTTGCACAGCCTGGGTCTACTACGGAGCCACCGGCGGCTACCGCCCATGACGCCTCGCTGCGTGCATTTCGCGATCTTGTGCGGCCACCGTCTCGTCAGCCGGTGCCTCGAGCACGTGCCTCGAGTCTCATTGATGTGGACGTGCGCGGAGATGGCGTGTTCATTTCATTGTTTGTTAGGTTCTCCCATCCTTAGGGCAGTGGCCGAGGATATGTCTGCAGGCCTTATGAAAAGTGAGCTCTCGGATGCATGTGCCATGCCACTCAGTAGACATGCCACTTACGTTATGTGTTACTTGAGTCGGGCTCCTGTCCCACCTTTTGTGACCGTTCCTTGCTTTGATTGGTCTCGGCCTCAGCCGGCCTCTACTGGGTGCCGCACATGGAGTTCGACGACCTTTCTAAATCCGTCCTTAGGTTTTTCGTCATATAGTGTGACAACGGTACAGGTCCTCCGTCACATGCGACTGCTACTACACATCCACAGCAGAGACGGTGCCCTGGACTCCAGTTCCCGGATTGGTGTGTCTCGTCTGCCACATCCACCCATTACAGTTGGTGTTGGGTTTTGGATAGCCTGCTTGCTTCCGTGGCACTGACCTCTCGCAGCATCGCCGAAGGGCTGGTTGCAACTAGGACCCCGAGGCTGCAGACCCTGCATAGACAATGTCTGCATTGCATGTCTCTGCCTGTCACCCGACCCCAAGTCTTTGTCCAGTCGACTCCCGGCGCAAACCGGCTACCACACACCTTTAAGCTGTGCTAAGAAAGGCGAAAGGACCTCAGGTAGTACCCAAATTCCTCCAGCGCCCCCTGAACACCAGTGCACTCTCTTTCGCCAACATGCCTCGGACCCGCCGAGTGGGCCAACGAGCCCGCGTCCGACCTGATGGAACCCGTCGGAGGACAGCTGGGGAACTGCGTGCCCGTGCCGAACGACGGGAGGCACGCGAAGCAGAGGCACGAGATGCAGCAGCAGCGGCTTCTGCTAGGAGAGCTGAGGAGTGGACGGCCCCCTCTGATGAGGATGCCGACTGGGGCGACCGAGTAGAAGTCGAAGTACTGGTCGAAACTTCGGCTCAGGAAGAAGCTGGAGACGTTCTCCCGGTTGACTCTAGGAGGGCCAGCTCTGCGAGGTCGGACATGGCTCCTCGGGGCTCAGTGCGTTTACTCCCGGCTTTCAAAATGAAGAGCGGAGAACTCAGCTGCAGGGTCCTCAACGGACGTCCCAAGGAGACGGTCATGGTCCAGGTCGCGATCCCCGCGGAGGCACACGGCCACTTCAAGTGCAGCCGGATCCAGCACTGGTCCTGGTAGAAGTCCAAAGGTGCCTCACATGAGCGAGCGCCGGGTGGTCGAGATCTCAAAGGCGCTTACGCGCCTTCTGCGGCATCGTGCTAGGGAGGCCGGTTTGCCTTTGAGACCAGATGGATATTTCGAAGTCGATGCTCTGCTCCGCACCCGTGAGCTACGGGACTGCTACACAAACCGGGCGGAAGTGCTTCATGTTGCCCGTACAGACGCCAAGGAGAGATATACCCTGGACACCTTGGACGACAGGCTTTTTATCAGAGCAGCACAGGGACACTCCCAACGTGTTGACAAGACACTGCTCATGACACAGCTCAGAGGAGACCAGCTTCCATCCGTGCTGTATCACGGCGCTACGTCGTCGTGTTACGGCTCGATACTCAGGGAAGGGCTTCTGGCTGGCGGCCCCGCAGGGAGCCGTAAACGCACGGACATACATTTCATTGCCAGCTTACCGATGGCTGCAGGCAGGGACGCTCCACCTGTGATCTCAGGCATGCGCACGTCAAGTGACATTGCGATCGAGATTGTGCCCAGACAAGCTTTTGATCATGGCTGCCTCTTTTTCCAGAGGGACTCCGAGGCGTCCTCCCACCTCGCTTCATTCAAGCAGTGGTGGTGCTCCGAACAGGAGAGCGTATTGTTGCAGACTCTGTGGACACGGCCCTCTCTGGGGCTGAGCTTGGAGGGCGCGTCACAAAATGTTCAGTTCGTGCCTGCGTCATGTACTTCTTTTTCAGAGAATGTCATCCTTGAGCTGCTGACAATCTTATCTTCAGCCCTCAATCTCTCATCTCCTACATACCTCATTGCGTCCCAGGTCTTGGTGTCGACATCTGATCGCCAGGCCTCTGGCTCGGCACGGCCCCTTGGGGAGCTGCTTCATCGCAGGCCTGCCCACTGACTGGTACGTCCTACCCATGGCTTCAGCGGGCACGCCGGTGGGCGACCTCCTCAGCAGGACTGTGAAGCGTCCTCAATACCCCCCGGCTGTGCTACGGGCGCTGGAGGCGACGCCAGAACAAGGGTGCACAAACAACGCTCAGTACCAGGTCCGATTCCTCTACTCCTCTGGCAGACCACATGGGCTCGACCGGTACCAGTTCGGCCCCTGCACAGGGAGCCGAAGGAGGTCCTCTTCGGGGAACAAAGCGAGCGAGAGGTGATGCTCTGCCCAAGCCAACCATGGCTCCTCATCTTCTGTCAGCTCTGGCGACCCGGGACCAGCAGTTGCATGCAGACGCACATTCGGCCACTATCTCAGTGAGCCGTCCTGCAGCATTCCAGGAGGAGCTCGCCGACCTCTCTCCCTGCGCATCTTCTGAAGCAGAGTCGAGTTTTTAGTCCTGTGAGTGATCCCCAGAGCGCAGTGAGTGCTATGGTAGGTGAGAGCTCTGAGCCTCGCGCCTATCGAGGGGGCAGACGTGCTTCTAGAGCTTGTGCAAAGATGCTTGTTCGAGCTGGGCTCCGCTGCCCTTGCTGCTTTCAGCTGCGACCCCATTGCCGCGAAGAGTCACAAGACTTTTATCATCATAGGTGCTGGCAAGGCGATCGCATGTCGTCTGACCTATCGAGTGGCCCCTTGCACACCTCAGTCTGGTATCCTTATCCACCGCACCCCGCGCAGTGGCAGGTGCGACCACGCTGTTTCACACGACGTGAAAGGCGCAAGCAACATCGCAAGCGGCGAGCCCGGTTTTGCTCTGTCAGCCACTCTGTTCGCTGTTCTAGCCCTAGCCCTAGCCCTTGTGCATATTTGCTTCAGCGACTTTGTTGGTGTATGCTCCGCAGATTTTTCAGGTACCGCCCAAAGGGCGGGCCGAGGCAGCACTACCGGCCGGATGGCACCCGCAGACGGCGAGTTAGCGGCCCGTGCAGCCGAGCTGAAGCACGTGCCGCTGCCGCTGCTCAGACCGCTCAGGCAGGAACCGCTTCAGGCTCGGCTGCACCGGCCCTCACAGAGGTAGAGGTGCCGTTTTCGTCTTCTTCCTCCGCTCAGGCAACTTCTGCGGTGTCAGACACTTCGGCACCCTCTGTGGAGTTGCTCCGGTTCCCATAAGTGCGACCCCGGTTTCCTCTAGTGGATCACCCTTGGCCCCTCTCTCCAAGGCGGTCGTCATCGGCAT